CGTATTCGGCGTTATCTGTAAATTTCTTTCCACGAAGCTATTTTTTCATATTTGGTATCAAAAAATAATCCGAAGGGGCCAAATTGGACATAGAGAGGGAGAGTTTCGAAGCCGCACTTCTAAGGAAGCCATCTTAACATGACTCTTGTGAATGGATGCGTTTTCGTTTACGTTGTGTGTGTTTTAATTTTTCTAGTAGTGTAGCGTAGTACGGTCCCATGATATTGACATCTATGTCTTCATTATCGATCAGTAAAATCCCCTCTGAATCCCAAAAAACAGAAGCCATAATTTTTCTAGGTGATTTTAGCACCTCGAACTTCTTAGGCGGCGCTGTACCTTCTTTATGCCACTGCATGGACTACTTTGATTCAAGTTCATAACGGTAAATCTGATTTTTATTTACACTCACAATTTGGTCCATAATGTCATGTTTATTCTCACTACACAGGTCCAAACACTCGCGCACGCACTCAACCCGCTGCCGTTTCTGAAGCGGTGTGAGCATTCTTGGCATTGGAATCTACGTTGCTCCCCGCCGTCACCAATGAAATTGTTAATTGCAAATTTATATGCTGATTTACCACGTGCTCAGCGGCTAAGGAAACATCGTGAGGAAACCTGCATGTCTGAGAAATAAGAAAAAAAATATTTCGAAGACATGTGAAGTTCGCCAACACGCATTGGGACAGCGCGGCGGACTATTCCTTGCCCTAAAACCCTCTCAGAAATGAGAGTGGGACATATATAGGCTGTAACTTTACTTTACTTTTTTTTTACTTTACCGTTATGAACCTGAATCAAATCAGTCCATGCAGTGCAGCGTAAATAAGGTGCAGCACCGCCTAAGAAGTTCAAGGTGTCACAATTTGCTAGAAAAATTATGGCTATATGAAAATATAGATGTTAATATCATTAGACAGTACTATGCTACACTACTAGAAAAATTAAAACACAACGCACCTATTCACAAGAGTCATATTAAGAGCCCTCTTACATTTCGGCTTTATGCAAATTTAGGTATTTGACGCTCCGAGGGGGCGATGATCTACGCGAGCGACAATATTTCATATCTTTTCAATCGCTCGCACTACGGTATTGTGAGTATAGCGACTAAACGATTTTGATCTTCCATTATAGAAGATTTCTTAGGACGGAGTTCAGTGGATGAAAAACTTTTGGTGTGTCATTTTTATGTTATCTAATTAATTTATTATAATCTATTTGATATATTTTGCATTATTTTTGAACCTTCGTTTTTAAACAAGTACACATAAATATTTTAATTGGTTCACAGTAATCAATTGTTAACCGACGTTGGTCAATAATCGACTATATCTACTAACGGTAGCATAGTGGTATAAATAAATTAATAGTACGGTTGCAACCCGTTTAAATAAATAAAATACCCACTGTAACTTATATTTTTAATGAGTACTTACAGTCTATTTCCCTTTTTAGGGTTCCGTAGTCAACTAGGAACCCTTATAGTTTCGCCATGTCTGTCTGTCCGTCTGTCCGTCCTCGCTTAATCTCTGTGACCGTTAGCACTAGAAAGCTGAAATTTGGTACCAATATGTGTATCAATCACGCCGACAAAGTGGTAAAATAAAAATTGGAAAAAAATGTTTTATTAGGGTAGCCCCCCTATATGTAAAGTGGGAAGTGATTTTTTGTTTATTTCAACCCTAACGTGTGATATATTGTTGGAAGGGTATTTAAAAATGAATAGGGGTTTAATTAAATAATTTTTTTTAATGTCAATAATTTCGGAAATAATCGCTCCAAAATTAAAAAACAATGTGTCCCCCCCCCCCTCTAACTTTTGAACCATAAGTTTAGAAAATATGAAAAATAATCTGAAAAGTAGAAATTTATAAGGACTTTCTAGGAAAATCATTTTGAACTTGGATGAAAACAACAGTACCCACTACCGAGAGCAGTTGCAGGAGCGCGGAGCGCTGCTGGAGCGCGAACATAATGGATACCCACCTTTAAACTCATAAGTGGAAACACTTATTGTGACGGACGGGAAAGTATGGAACCCTACACTGAGCGTGGCCCGACACGCTCTTGGCCGGTTTTTATTTTATAATAAAAATATTTGCCGCAACGGATTTAAGCGAGCTTATCTCGAGTCAATAATTTCAGGCAGAACACACTTTTTATAAAACGCTTGTAACTTGGCTAACATATTATTCAAAATCCAAGTAGAATCTTCCCGAAAGAAGCAAGTATAGGTATTGAAGAGTTGGCTTTAGAGATCATAATATAATTTAATGTAATATGGTATTTTAGGTAAATTATGGTAATATATATTTTTTCAACGGCGGCCCTGCGTGCGTTAAGAAAATCTGCCGAAAAATCCTTGTTCTTGACCTGGTAATCTTAAATTACTTACATATTTACTGCAATTTGACGATGTCTTTATCTTTCGGAACACATGAGAAAAAAACGTCTGTTTAAAAAACATTAATTTTTAAATGCAACGCAAGTGACGGTATTTCAACACAGAAATATAATGAGAGTTATATGCGTTGCAATGCCTTGTTGCCTTGGACAACTACTCACCAAAGTTAAATCTGAATCGGATGAATGGTATAGAAACGCATAGAAAACAAACATATATAAATTTTTTTTAAGAAGCGGTTAAAAGAAACGCATACGGGATATACAACAAATTATTTACTTTTACATACAAAGTGATATTTCATTGAACTGGATTGGTATTAGTGGTTGATGATTTTAGAGCTACGCTTTTGCCTTTATGACGATGGTTCTTTTTCTAACCGAGAGTTTTGAATTTTGAAGTGAAACCGGTGAACAGCGATTCTCGACCACGGTGTTACTAGAAGGCAACAATAGGCAAAAAAGCAAATGACTACCCAACCTAAACAAATAATTGGTGTTTTTGCAAAAATGCACCGAATCCAGGACCCGCGGTGTAGTATATATAGTCACATTGGTAACTACGCAACGCTCCTACGCGGGCCCCGTCTTTGCCCACGCAAACCCTAATATTTTAAATGAACTCCAAATAGTTCAGAACCTCTTCTGTCGTCGAGCTGCGAACGCACCTTGGTACGTCCGTAATGCCGACCTTCATCGGGACTTAGAGCTCCCAACAATTCAACAATTTTTTAAAAAACTCTCTGAGAACTTCTTCAAAGCCTCAGAGTCGCACCCAAACCATTTAATTCGTGAGGCAGCTTCTTATGCAGCCCCACCCCCCCTCTCGCTATCGTGTCCGCAAGCCGAGAAACTCTCTCTCGGACCCGCCTAATAAACTGTCAAACTACCTGAACTGTCTCCTGGCGGCTCAGGCCAACTCTAATTAAATTAAATTATTGTAATAACTAACATTAATTATTTGCCTTCGTAGGCACTCCCTCAGCGGCACTTAGCCGCCTGCGCCCTCTTTTCCCAAAAGAGGGTCGCTCATGATAAGGCACAATACAGCTTGATCAGCCGGCTGCCTGTCCCCAAAGGCGGTTTTTAGAGGGTATCACTTAGGGTCCCCGGTAGGACAGTGAGCCCCTCATAACCACGATAGACCGGCTATCGTGGTATGCGTAATGCATTTTCCGCCTCCCTACGTATAGGGTAGCCCTTTAATTGCTTCGGGCGCAAAAAAAAAAAGTAAATCTCAAAGTAAATCTCTTTATGGGATACACACTTCGGTACCTACATGACTTCCTTTTATTTTCGAGATGGCTATGGAGCTAGAAAGAGTTTGCGCTTTATTTATTTCACTTTGAAATGGTGAAAGTTTCTTTACGATGTTTTCTTCACCGCTGATAATAAAAAAAGCTAAAAGTTAAGTTATAACCTATATACCTATATATAGCTGCAAGATGGCTCCATCCACGTTTTAAATTTCATTGTATTTGTGATTGAACACATTTTGGCTCTACCAAGTCCAAAATCCACGTCCAAAAATATATTAATAGAAGGGCACATGTGTATATATGGACTTATGTTTGTCCCTAGTATTTCAAGTATGAATATCTTTATTCTTATCAAAGCTATTCATGTTTTTATGTTATGTGTAAAATGTAATGTAGGTATGTAACATTACATTTTAATAATTATATTGCGAGGCTAATGTTAATGCTTATTTCTTTAAATTTTTCTTTGTGGGACTTTTCATAAGTCGCCCGTATGGCCCTCTTTAGCCAAACAATCAGGATTATTCCGTTTATCCACCGTAAAAAATCCACACTAGGGTGGATACTAGTAAGCGCGTGTTCATCTATACACCCCAGAGGGAGTAGATAATCAGAATTAACTTTTATTTGTTCTACCGACTTTTTACCCCAAGTACAATTCAACTCATAATTTGCTTTAATAATTTTTTTAACAACACTAATTATTAATTAATTTTGAATAAACACAAATTTAAACAAAACTCATATTATGTATTGCCGTTACCGTTACCGTTATAGCCTATTAAAGTTCGCGCATTACGTATTGCATTTAAATCTAATTAAACTTCCACGTTTTAAACAATACTGTTACGTAATTTGTAAATTCTGCAATATGTCCGGTAAACTACCAACATTAATTTCATTATGATCAGATGTAATTTGATATCCTGGATAAATTCGTTACTTTTAATGTAAATTAGCAATCGTTTTCTAATTATCTAATATGTGTTATAATAATTACACAAATTGAGATGGACAAATGCCCGGGCATTTTTGGCAAATTGGGAAAATTCCTAATAAGCGCCGATAAATTTCTGTCCTTGGGCATTTATCTGGGCATAAATTTTGGTACCAATATTGATTTACAAGATTTATGTTAGCATTGGAAGCTGGTATAACTTGTTGAGTTTAGTTAAGATTAATTATTTAAAGGTGTTATTTTATGAATTTGCATACTTTTTATTAAATATGTTTATTTTACAAAACCATGTTTACGACATAAATGTTACGAATTACGCCGCAGCGGGAAAAATACTTGTACCGAGTGAGTGAGTAAGAGGTGCGGGACGAGGGATGCGTCCAGGCAACACACCGCACCGCCATTTTGTTGTTAGTCGTCCTGTGTCAGTTGCAGTTACCGCACGTGCATTCTATTTGTGTCCATTGTTTGTTGTATTCTAGTTCCGGTTAACCAATTTATGCAATTATTAATATTAAGTGTGTGATAATTTACTGCTACTTGTAAGGTAAGTCAGTCTTTCTTTTTTTTTGTGTACCAATCAGATATTCCGGGTAAATAGTAATAAATGTTTAATACCCTCTGCATATTTTTGATATACAACAAGAAATAAGAAATCTTGTAAAAAATGGTTGTAAAATAAGTTACAAATAAACTTAATTATTACTAAAGTGCTTGCTTTATGAAAAATATTTGTTGTTTTAGCGCCATGGGAAGATCAAAAAATCATACTATATGGAGGCACTATCATCAATTACCAGACAATTCCGTAAAGTGCTCTTTTTGCGAAAATCATTATAAAAAAGGGCATGTAATAAAAATGCAGCAACATCTTCTGACCTGCTTAAATTCCCACACGCCGTAAAAAAACAAATTAACGATGTCAATAAGTCACAATCCAACTTAACACCAGAATCCACAACCTTTTTCCCGTATAGGATTGTTGTTCTGTGTTTTCTTTTTGTGGTTTATTGGAAAAGTCCAAAAGTCATTCGAAATGATAAAAAAAATACCCACATATTGTGCCATTGAACTGTGCTGCTCACACTCTGAATTTAATGTGCGTTGATGTAATAAAAGCACCCGAAGTTAAAGCTTTCTTAGATCTCGCAACAGATGTTATTAAAAATATTAAAAAAGTCAATTCTTAAGTGCTTTATTAAGTAAAATTAGAAAAGAAAAAATCTCTAGTCAGAGAGAGAGTAGTAGAGTCTAAAATTATCCTGTAAGACAAGATGGGGCAGTCATGTCAGTGCACTAAAAAGTCTGAAAATTAATAAATCTGCACTACAGACTTTAGCTGTTAATGAAAACCTTCAGCCAACGCCCGATATTAAATCTACACTTTTAGATGAAGATTTCTGGTCTATGATAGAACAATCCACCAGTGTTCTTAAGCCTATAGCAGAAAGTATCTTTAAATTAGAAGGCAATGAATTCAACATACATAAAGTATTTATGGTGCTAAGAAACCTGAAATCAAAGTTAGAATTTGTGTTACCAAGAATCACAATGCTGGATGACGACAGCAAGGAGAATATAAAAACTTATATTGAAAAACGAGTTAAGCAGTGCATAAAACCCATACATTATGCGGCCTACATGTTTGATCCTAAATCTGCAGGCATTGAACTAAATCAGGCGGAAGAAACTGAAGCCATGGAATTAATCTATAACCTCGCTGAGCATTGCAACATTGACTGTCTTGCTGACCTGGCTAAATATAAAGCTAAAGAAGGTCTTTGGAGCAAACCATTTACTTGGAAGGCCGCTGAGAAAGTAAATCCCATTTTATGGTGGTAGGGGATATGTGGCTCAAGTCAGTTAAGTAAAGTTGCACTTAGAGTATTGACTGCACCCTGCACGTCAGCAGCCACCGAACGGTCGTTCAGCACACAGGGCGGAAAGAGTCTCACATCAGAAAGAGCGGCGAAAATAACTTTCTTATCGTATAATTGGAACTTATTAAATAAAGGTGAAAACATTAATCGTGTTTACAGTGAACATACTGTTCCAGAAAGGTCCGACATGGAAGACACAGATGATGATATGTTGCACGATGCTGCCATGGAGGGTCACATGCAAGAGGATATGTAATCGTCTCTCAGGGAGGATATATGGGAAGATATGGAACCAGTAGCTTCAACTTCACAACAAGCTAATCATATTGAATTCGTAAATATTAGCGAATGTTTATATGATACCGATATTGATTAGGCTAATGGAACTTGTAATACAATAAACAAAATACTTTAATTATTATACCGGTCGGGTGTTAATAATGATTCTATACTCTAGTGTTATTTTAATTCGAACTATAATAATATTGATTTTTAGAATTTTTACAATATTGTTCCTATTAATGCTAGAAGTCATATTTTCTTTATTTGATTAGTACATATTGTTTTATTTTATTCATTAAGCACATATTCTAATATTTTTATATAAAAATTATATTGCTGATTCTTGTTAAGATTTTCACATGACAAAGTATATCAATGTTATTATTTTAAAATAAAAACGTGTTCAATCATGAAAATTCCTTGTTTCATTTCTTTAATAAGTACAATTTTACATTAAAAATTTAATTTGACCACGTTTTGGTATTTTTTTTGCCCTGTAATTGAACATATATTGGGCAAAAATAAATTTATGCCCAAAATGTCGAAAACCCATCTTGTGTTACAACAAATGTGTTGGCGAAAAACTGTACGTTTTTTTGAAAGCACTCCAAAAACGTTACTTTTGGATGTTTGTCTTTAACTTCATTTTAAATTGTTTTATGCTAAGATTCCAATGGAATCTGTTATCCTGTGGAGCGCTCCTTTTACTTCAGCGCTGTAATGTTAATATGTATCTTGCGGGCAGTTTTTATCAATAAATAAATGACTATACATACACAGCCGAGGGAGAAAATTGGAGGAAAAATAAAATATGATTAGGGTTAAAAGGTGCTTATTTAACCATAGGTATGTGTGATGAAGTCCTCTTTCAGCAAGTATATGTGTTTCAAGTTCCAAGTCGTACCCTGGAGTAAGATAGATGATGATCTTAAGTGCTATATACAAGTCTAAATTGAATAGAGTTTTGAATTTGACTTTGAAATGTCACCCAGTGAAATGACTTACAGCATACGGTAATGATGACGAATGATAAAACAGTTTTTCTCATTTTATCATTTAAGTGACAAACGAGCTCACAATCGACCTCATAATGAGTGCCTACTGCAACCAATGCACGCAGATGCGTCTTCGAAGAAAACAAGTGTTGCGTTATCAGTTGTCGACGGAGATAGAATGTTTCACAGTCTGTAGCTGAACCAGTTTTCTATAACCTTGAAGCCTTCTCTTCTTCATCTCTCTTAAAGATCTATGACAATGATGGAACCCCAGGAGGACATAGACAAGGCTTTATCCTTACTATAACTATTATTTAAGCCATGTTACCTACAAAATAATTCATGAGAGACTAAATTAAATCAGTTGCTTTTAATCAGTAATCAGTTGCGTATATCTCTTAGAAAATAACTAGCCCCCCAAAACTTATAGACTGGCTTTGAAATGACATTACGGTAGTGTTGCCCAAAATCGGTCTTGGTCTTGCAGTTTTGTTCTTGGTCTTGGTCTTGCAAAAATGCAAGAACAAGACCAAGAACAAAACCGCCTAATTTTAGCAAGACCAAAACTAACCGTGCAAGATTTGAGCAAGAACAAGACTAAGCCTGCGAGACTCTTGCGTATTGCAGTTAGGAATGAGTGTCGTTTCAGGGAGTATAGGAGTTTGGGTATACGCTTAGGGACTCTATGAGACGCAAAAAATATATAAAAAAAATTTGGAAAATTGGACTTATGCGCATTACGAACAATACCATAAACATACATAGCGGATGAAAATATCCATTAAAAGAAAAAACAGTGCATCCCTAGTTTTGACCATCGGCACTTTGATAGTGCGCGGCGTCTTGTTGTCGGCATCATCAAAGGTCGAATACTGACCTGTCAAAGAAATTTTGCAGCTATTCGGAAGTACAAGCGCCGGCGGCTTCTATTGATATCGCATTCAATCGTCGCCGCTACGCCGCACGCACTACATTTGACACTGTTTGAATACCGCCACAGAGTACATGTTCCAAAGAATAAAATAAGTTTCCGGGTGCTCAGAATGGACACGAATACATTATGCTGATCTCGCAAGGAATATTGTAATTAGATAATGGTAAGGATAGGTAGATACCATAATAATTTATTCTAGTAAGTAATTATTATAATATTAACTATATGGGTTTATAATATTTACTTACTATTATTATTATTACCTAATAGATAAACATGTTCAATAAGTTCACTGCAAATCTCGATTTTTGGAAGTGTGTGTTTTTGAACACAAAGTGTTCGAATATGTCGTCACCCATTTGATAAATATTGTAGACACTTTTAACACACTTGAAAAGTGTAAACATTTTGTACAATGCTAATCGAATAATAATATAAAAAGTGTGCATACTAAATAAAAAGCGTAAAATAAGATCTATGTACTTTTTAGGAGCCCGAGTATCTCTTAGAGAACCGTTTAAAGAAATTCATTGCATCGAATTGATGTAAATAATAGTGATATGCACAATTTTAAAAGTGAAAATAAAAATAAAATCACAATACCTGCTTTCCGGTTACACAAAGTATATAATGCGTTCTTGGGTAGCGATATACGCTTTTATAATAAGATTCCAAAAGAAATGTTAGATCTTTTACCTTTTCAATTTAAGTCAGACAAAAATGCTTGGAAATAACTTCTCGTACTACACAGGACTAACTAGAAATTTCTAAACCGATTTGGTATCTACATATACATTTGACATTTTATGTTTGACTTATCGCTTTACATAATTATAGAAATATTGTAAAAATATTTTGAAAAGAGCAACTACTGAGTTTCTTACTTTCTTCCATGATTCTTCTCAGTAGAATCAGAACCCCTGGACATAGAAAAGAAAAAATTGGGGAAAACAGTGATTATGTGACTATTCAAAAGTGTATTTTTAATGCCTACTTGAATAAAACGTATTTGAATTTTGAATTTCAAACGAGTGAAGGCAAATTTAATTTAATTAACGTAGATTAATTCAATCACAATGAAGAACATAATATACACAATTTGATTTACATATTTACATTTCATTTTTACGTAGGCACACTATACCTATCTGGCAACGCATCTACTTTATTAATCTTCTGAAGAATCATTAATTTTATCAAAGGATGCCGAACTTTTCTTTGTCGGTCTTTCGGCGTGTACTTACAAATAGTAGTATTTATTTTAATTCCAGTCATTCCCAATTGATCTTTGCTTCGAGTCTAATGTATTAATTGTTTTTACTCTAATCCTTGTTGTTCTCGGAGTGATAAGTTTACAATTTGACATGAGTGACGAAGAGTCGAATAGTTCTAGTTGGAGTTATGGATCTAAAAGACTTAAAAGTAAATTTGATGAGTTTTTCGACATAATTCATGCATCCGAAATAGTTTTGTGTAAATTATGCCAACATAAAAAGGTTGAAATAAAAATGAAAAACAGAAACACTTCAGGCTTAAGAAAGCATCTAATATCTTTTCACAAAAAGGAATCACAAATATTTCTTCCTGAAAAACCAAAATTGAGTGGAGATATCACAAGCTTTTTAATAACCAGCGGAAAAAAGTGGACAGGTAAGAAAAAATATACTTATCACACAATTACATAACACATATATTATGTAACTAGCGGCCGTCTGCGACTTCGTCCGCGTCATCGAAATCAGATATTGTATCTGATTTCCTATGAGATTTTGAAATTTTTTTGCTGCAAAAGTCTTACCTAAGTATAAAGAGGCTATATAGGTAAAGCTTAACTATGCAAGTATTTATTATTCAAAGCTAATAAAGTAAATGCCGATCTTCATATCTATACTTTAAAAATATAGGACTTGCATGTAACCATTTTACCCCAATTTCACCCCCTTAGGGTTAGGATTTCGTAAAACAGCTTATTCAGGATTTTATTATTGAAAACTTATAAATTTAATGCCGATTTTCATGTCTCTAACTTCAAAAACGTAGGACTTTCATACAAATTTCCAACTCCCATTTCACTCCCTTAGGGATAGATTTTCTCAAAACCGTTTCTTAACTGATCTCTATACCATAAAAGGAATCTACCTTACAAACTTCAAGTTTGTATGTTTTATAGTTCCTGAGATATCGTTATAGTCATTCAGTGAGTGGTAGTTTTATATATATTTATATATATATATATATATATATATATATTTTTATATAGTGTTAAATATGTATTTATAATTCACTCATATTTTCATTTGTTTTTATAATCGGCGAGACACATGATTTACTGTTTTATTTCAGTCTGAAAATAGCAGTGACAACATGACGACAGCTAAAATATATCTTCCCTTCTCATTTTTCGATGACGAAGCTACACAAGTATATTTTCAATCAATTTGCCCAAATATGGTGTTTCCTAAAAGGTCACACTTAGAAGGAAGGTCAAAGAACGGTTTGAAGAGCTTCAATTAAATCTTAAGAAACGACTACAACAATTTTCATCTAAAATGTCATTTACCATTGATGGATGGACGTCAATTGCTGGTAGGAGTTACCACGGGGTCACTATTCATTATATAGACAACGAATAGAAGTATCGATTTGTAGTCCTTGATTTTATACCATCACGCGGTCGATATACTGGGGAAGATATTGCAACGATTTTCCGAATGTTTATTGGAATATGACATTGATAAAATACAGGGTATCACGGTCGACAACGCAACTGCAAATACCAAATTTATGTATGAATTGGACAAACAGCTGCCACACTTTGATTCAGACAATCAACATTTCCGGTGCTTTGCTCACATTTTGAACCTTGGTGCACAAGATCTATCAAAGACCTTAGCATTACACAGTGAAACTGACAATAAGGGACAATAACAGCAGTATGAAGATAATGAAGACGAAACTGAGGAAGATGAAGAATATGCGCTAAATATTGCTGACTCACGTACAGCTATAACAAAATTATGCAGTATTTCCAGTAAAATAAAAAGA